CGCAAACGAGCGAGCTGCCCGTTCTCCACTGCGCCTCACCTATCTTTCCCCCATCTCGGTCTCTAAACACACCTGGCCCGAATCCTTGTTCGGGTTCATTCCTCTCCTTTCCCGTCTATGCCTCTGCGCACCTCTATCCCATACTAACTCGTGCTTTACTAATCCAACACAATCAAACTAACAGTGTTAATGAAATCGCCTCACCCCAAACCTTTGTTTAGGCCTCTACTCCACTCGATTCTATCGAGGACTAAGTGATACCTTGATTCTTTACCCCCACCGGCTCTTCTTCTGCCATAGCTTCGTTGTACACCCTTCTTGTCTAACTCTGACTCTACCCAACTAACCACAAAACTAACGATACTATTGAACTCGCCTCACCTCAAAACGCTAGAATCGCATCGTCCCTCACCCGATTCGGTCAAGAATTGGATGAGATCAGCATCCTTCCCTTATCTCCCCTTTTCGTTCCGCCATGCCAGTTCCTGCAAGTACCTGGCCCAACTTCACATCTACATTCACTCCCCATTTTCCTGCCCTCTCCGCCTCAGTGCCCGTCGCTTCTACTGTCGCCAGCTCTGCGCCCGGCCACGTAGTGGCCCGGCCCCTCTATCCGCCATCTTCCATCTCTCTCGAACGTACCCGGCGCACATTGTGTCTAGGTTCATTCGATGTCCTCTCCGTCTTAGCGTCCAGCCCTGTTACGCTATCGCTTCGCCCGCTGTCGCGTAGCATTATCCTGCTAGCTCCGCTGCCCGTCACTCCCCCTCACTGCCTTAGTACTGAGTGCCTGCTGCGCACTCACCCTGACCACTGCAGCTGGGCCAGCCTCACGTCCGCTTTCCCCCTTTGCTGCCTTCCACCGCGATCCTCCTCATCCCGAGGTCGGCGCTGCACTCGGCCTGGCTACCCGTTCCCACACCCGCAGAACACTTGACACCAAGCGGTACGGCCTGGTGTGCCCTGCCAATCCGGCTGTTCTACAGATGATTGCCGACAGAGCCAGCTGCCAAACGGTTTTTACAAGGCCGCCCCCCTCTTCTGCCTGCTGATCCGTCGACCGATCTGCGGCCCACCATTCTTACGCCCCCCTCACAGTGCCCTCCGACCCGATACCTTCCGCTGTGCCACTGCGCTCCTTGGCCTTTGTCGTGCCCAACCTCTAGTCCACTTTGCCCGTCCTTACCCCTTTTCCTCTAAGCAGGGCCTGCCACCCCTCCGTCCTTTCAGCAGGTAAGTCCCACTGAGGTTTCTCATAACCAGCCGTGGAGTCGAGGGCACGGGTCTCCCATGTGCCCAAGCGCGGGCCTAGGCGAAGCGGCCCAGCGCATATCCTTTGTGGTATTAGCAAATATTCAAATGAGAACTTTGAAGACCGGAGTGGAGGAGAGCCCCGCGGGCATGTTCACCCGCCGGCTCGCACGCACGTTGGACCTTTCTCGACGGGCAGGATAGGGGAAATTTGCCGGCCTCCCGAACATGCGGGGTTTCGTAAGTCAACAAAAATGAGGCGCGTGCTCGAGGCTTCCGGCTACAAAAATAATAAAATATTTAGAAACTTTTAATTGTGCGCGGGCGATGGGCGAAGGAAAAATAAAAAAAATACTAGCACCGTTCTAGCGCTGCCGATGGCAAAACCAAAAGGAATATCCTAGCGGAGCCCTTCGTGCCACTCGGAAGTTTCCGTGCCGCTGCTGCTCGATCTCGATCCCTGAATCTCCTTGATGAAAGTCCGATACTGTAACCAATAGCGCTAGGACCGAGTCTGGGCCTAGATCTGACAGACACCTAAATAAACGGACACCGCGCGACGCACCAAGCTACCGAAACGCCTTCAGAAGCCACATTGTCGTCGATGCCGTCCTCCGTACGTACGCACAGGTCACAAGCAAGCCCACCAGTCAACGAGACATAATCTTTTTAATCCCTATATGATCAGAAGGAAAAATATCTGGCCGGCGATGATGCCGACTCTTCAACCATCAACAATTATAAAGATCACGCTTGCCTCAGATCTACTCGCCCACCCACTCTTTACTCTAGTCAACCATCAACCGCGTAGACAACGGACACTGTCGCGACCCGAGCGGTACATTCAAACTTTAAACTAAACTTATTTCTGTCAATTGCAAAAACCAGGGCGGATACCCTTGTAAGGGTATTCGCGCCGACAACGCACTTTTGCTGCGGCCACTACCTTGGCTCCTTCAACGGCGCCTGCGCATAACTTCTTTGTGCCTTCCTTCAATCTCTTTACTTCGACCCCGACGTGGGTCACCACGTCGCACGCAAACTCTCTAAAACTTGACCGGATGGCATGAAGAGTCACCTCTTGACCCTTATTGGCCTGATGCTTTTCAAGTCAGGGCTGACTCAAGACCTCAAGATACCCCAGGATCTTATCTAACTTGGTGGGGGTCTCTTTTTGCTGCGGCCACTACCTTGGCGCCTTCAACGGCGCCTGCGCAGAACTTCTTTCTGCCTTCCTTCAATCTCTTTACTTCGGCCCCGCCGTGGGTTACCACGTCGCGTGCAAACTCTCTAAAACCTGACCGGATGGCATGAAGGGTCACCTCTTGACCCTTATTGGCTTGATGCTCTTCAAGTCAGGCCTGACTCAAGACCTCAAGATACCCCAGGATCTTATCTAACTTGGCGGGGGTCTCTTTTTGTGCCCGCACTTCCCGCCTACGCGCCTGGATCTTCTCCACCTCTTTGGCCATCCGGTTGGCCTCCTCCCTCCTTCTCTTCTTCTCCCTGGTCAGCTGCAACTTCCACTCCAACCTCTTCGCACCTTCTGCGGTCTGACGGTCCAGGCGGTCCTCCAGCGCTTCCAGCTCCCTGACAAATGCTTCTCTCTCCTCCTGGGGCACATACAACAGTGCCTCTTCGTCTTCTCCCAGCAATAAGTTAGCCACCCACTCGCTAATCTCTTCTCCATCCACTTGTCCTCTGCCTTCGTGCCACTGCTTTCTTCCCTTTCTTCCCTACGCCTCCTTTCTAGGGGTTCTTCTTCTACCTCTTCCTCCTCTGCTGCTGCTGCTGCTTCGGCAACCCTTCTTTTATCTTCCTCCTCCTGCTGCAATCTGATCATCTCCTCCTCCAACTTCTTCTTCTTCGCCGCCTGCTCCTCCGCTATCGCCTTCAACTTCGCTTGCTTGAGGAGCTCCTTCTTCTCCTTCTTTTCCCTTCTCTCTCTCAGTATGGCGGCGAATTGCTCCTCCTGAGCTTGGGTGTTAGGGGTAGTACTCTTCCCTCCACGTGTGTCAACCATGGTGTCAGGTTCACAACCGGGCAACGGTTCCACTCCTCACCACTTAGACTCTACCCCCTGACTGGCACGACCTACTGACTCAATTTAAGGACTTACAAAATCCGGACAGGATCCTGTCAACTAGGGTCTCTAGCCTAGACCTACTCTAAGGCTGTTACTACAGGACCTGTTGCTGATCAAGAGGCATTTAAGGAGATCCCCCGTAACTCCTCAGGAATTCTTTAACGTCGCAAACAGGACGACGCAATCAGCAGGTCCTCTCAAGACTTCGACGGCCTGTTCTGCAGCCCACAACTCGGATTTTGGGCCTACCGTGCCACACCGAGCAGCCCGCCGGTCAGTACCGGTCCTTGGGAGGGTTCATTTACTCCGGGACAGTCGAGTCGCCAGACACAATCTTTAGCCCTACTCAGCCCGTGTGGGTTTGGTCAACACCTGGACAAAAGAGACTCGATGCAGAAAGAAGAGACAGACAGACTTGACTCAGCAAGTACCATAGGGTGTGTGCACATCCATAGGGCGAGGGGACAGACTGAAGGCTTGGCGAGATTATACCAGCTCCAGCTTCGTCAAAGTCGTGGTCAACAGTCTTGGTCAACACCTTGGTCAACGCTTGGTCAACGCTGTAGTCAACCCACGGTCAACTCCCGGTCAACGCCCGGTAAACTCTCCCGGTCAGCTATGGCTGCCGTCTTCTCCTTCCTTGCCACCCTTCTCCTTCTTTTCTCCTTCCTCGCCTCCTTCTTCACCCCGGCTGTCTTCTCTTTTTTTTTTTTTTTTTTTTTTTTTTTTGGCTCGTGCAAGGAACATGAGTATGGACAAAGCACAGAAATCCAGAATGCAAAATCACACTGAAGTCCAAGTAGTCAAAGCCAAAGCAGATAGTACAATGGAACCGAGTAACCATCCAATTGAGAATGATAGAGAAGAATCGAGAGTCAATGTCCATGCTCCACAGGGCAACACCAACAGCATAACCCAATGTAGCTCTCTCTCATGAGTGGCGCCAGGCACCCTATCTATTCTACAGCTACAGCCTACAACTACAGCAATGAAAAGCAACCAGACAACTTGACTACCAGCGAGTGATGATCTTAACACCAATGCCGACCTCCCTCTTCACCCAGGTACGTGTCCACTTCCCACACTCTCCCTTGTTACCCACACAGCGCCCTTCACCTCCGAAGTACCACCTTCGCCCTTCACCTCTCTGCGCCCTCTGCAGCCCGGCTATGGCCGCCAAGCGCCCTGGTGCGCAGGCAGCGCCCTACCGCMYARCGCTGGCCTGCCTCGCACCTCACTTAGCKCAGCGCAGCAGCAGCCAGCAGCTCGCATTTGCGCAGCGTGCCRGCATTGCCSGCAATGGCCAAGATCCCTGCCCACTCGCCCTGCTTGCCTATATGCCAGTGCAGCGTGTGGGCGGCCTCCCTTCAGCCTGCGTCCAGGCCCCAGTGGCTGAACMCAGGCCCATTACAGTTGGGGCCCGGGAGATGCAGTTGTGCCTCTCTCGTCAAGGCCTGTGGCCAGATTCAGACAGTGGGCCGGTTTCCCTTTGCATTTCCGGCCTCTATACCAAGCGTGCATTGTCGGCCTCACTTTCAGGAGCCCAGGGCCTAACCAACTCAGAGCCCCGGGCATTTCAGCATTTGCTGAAATCCGAAACTCGGTGCAMTCCAACCAACTGGCGTGCTGCAACTGTAAGGACCCCACTTCGTGAAATGTATGCACAGAGGGCTATTGTTGATTTGCTGGCCCGCCTTCACTTAGGGCGGGCACGAGGCTTGCTGGGGCCTTAGCCCAGAACATGTACATCATGGCAAGGCCCCTTCTTGAGGGCTCATTCCTCACATTCCATCCCCCTTAGCTTCGAAAGTCCGTTGAGATGCTTACTTCACAGGTGCCTTCCCTTTTAGCTTCCATTCATAATCTGCCACCACCTGAGGAGCTGTCTCAACCAGTTCCTCCCTGGTAAACCACCGATCTTCTTTGGGATCCGTGTGATGCCTGAATCTTACACGGTACTCTCTCTTGGGTTTAGGAGGTCTTCCTCGACCCAGCGGCTTCGCAATAGGCATGTCCCTGTGATCCACAATGTCGTCGATGTCCACTTGTCCATCCATGGTTGGGGGCAGCATTGATCTCCTGGAAGGGAATTGATCAGTCTCAGCGAAAGGTGCAAGCTTTGAGACATGAAAGACTGGGTGAGTGCGTAGATGCCCAGGGACACGAATGACATATGTGGGACCATCCAACTCTTCTCCCACTACATCTAGGACTTCCCAGGGACCAAAGTACTGCGGCATTAGTTTGCGAGAGATTCCGAACTCTTGTCCTAACTCGCTAGCCTTGACCCAGACTCGTTCCCCTACCTGAAATGTGGACTGTCTGCGATGTTGATTCTCAAAAGCGATCATCGCTTGCTGAGCTTTCTTCATATGCTCGACAGCCTCCTGCAGCAACTTCTCATACTGCACACCATACTCTAGTGTGCCGGGAGTTGCTGCGGGTCGGTTTTTATGTAGGAGGAAGTCTAGCGCTGATCTAGGCTTCCATCCCAAGTGCAGCTGATTCGGACTGACGCCGGTACTGCTATGTATAGCATTGTTGTACAGGCTGGCGATGAGAGGTAACTGCTCATCCCAGTCWTCCTGGCTCGGCTTGATGTAGTGCCTCAGCAAGTGCTGTACAACTCTATTCATTTGCTCGGCTTGTTTGTTGGCTTCGGGATGATTCCCTGAAGTCATCTGAAGTGGACTGCCCATCTGTTCTGCAGTCTTCTTCCACAGCTCACTTGTGAATCGGACGTCTCGGTCACTAATGATAGTCTTTGGTAAACCAAAGTCCCTTGCCCAGTTGTCTTTGAACAACTCGATAACATATTCCGTCCTGGCTGTTTCTGGCATCGGTATTAGTCTAACGTACTTGGTGAATCTGTCAATGATGACGAATATGTGCCTCTTACCACTCTTGCTGGTCACTAGGGTGTCCATGAAATCCATGGAAACACTCAGTCCTAGACCATCAGGAATAGGTAAAGGTTTCAACAACCCAAGCGGCGCTTGAGTTCGCAGCTTGTCCCGCTGACAGACCTGACAGGTCTCAACATACTTTCTCGCGTCATCTAACATTCTGGGCCACCAAAATCGCTGTACTAAGTTAGCACTCGTCTTCTTGTAGCCAAAGTGCCCAGTTGCGTCATGGCATTCAAGGTAGAGTAGCCCGTCCACCATCACAAACTCACTTTCTGTGGCCTTGTCTTTTGCCTGGAGTTTGCGGATGATGTCCATCGTGACAGGGTCTTCCTGATAGGCTCCGACCAATGATTGAGTTACTTCATGAGATACGCCAAAGTCAGAAACTAGCGCACCTAGGTAGTCTGCTCTACGAGATAGCGCGTCCGCAACCTTGTTGTACCCTCCCTTCAAGTACTCAAGCTTGAAGTCGTATTGATCTATGACTTCAATCCATCGCTTGAGTGCATCAAAAAGAGTCGGTTGAGTCTTGATCCATTTGAGGGTCTGATGATCAGTCCTCAGATAGAAGAACCTTCCCAAAAGGAACTGTCTCCAATGGACAAGTGCCTTGTAGAGAGCATAGAGTTCCCGTTCGTAGGTGGACTTAGCCAACTTCTTCGATGGCATCTTCTTACTCATGTACTCAATCGGTCTCAACTTTTTCCCATCCTGTTGAGCCAGCACTGCGCCAATGCTGTATTGGCTTGCGTCAGTGGTCACTATGAATGGCTTCTGCGGATCGGGAACCATGAGAACTTCATGATTCATGAGCGCATGCTTCAATCTCTTGAAAGCACCCTCGCACTCATCACTCCAGTCCCACGGTGTGTCAAGTCGAGTTAGATCAGTCAAAGGAGAGGCGATTGTAGAATAGTTCTTAACGAAGTTCCTATAGTAGCCGCACATTCCTAAGAATGATCTGACCTCAGTGACTGTCTGAGGTTGTGGCCAGTCTCGAATACTAGCGACCTTCCCATCCTCCGGCCTAATTCCCTCCGCGGATACTTCGTGACCCAAGTATAGTATCTTAGTGCGACCGAATTCACACTTCTCTAAGTTGACCTTATGCTTGTGATGTCGTAGGAGTGAGAGAACTGTCACAACATGCTTTGCGTGCTCCTCGACAGACTTACTAAAGATCAGGATGTCGTCTAAGTAGACCACGACAAACTTATCTAAATGGTCATGGAAGATCCAATTCATAGCGTGCTGGAATGTACCGGGCGCATTACAAAGACCGAAAGGCATCACTACAAACTCATACAGAACATATCTAGTCTGAAAAGCTGTCTTGTGTTGGTCCTTCAGCCTTATTGCGATCTGGTGATGTCCGGATTTCAAGTCTATCTTTGTATAGTACTTGCATCCCTGCACCCTATCCAATAGGTTGTCTATGCGAGGTAGAGGCTCCTCGTTTTTCACAGTGATGGCATTGAGGCCCCTATAATCAATGCACATCCTCAAAGTAGCCCCCTTCTTTGGTACGAATAGCACGGGATATCCGTAAGGGGAAGTACTAGGCCGAATCCATCCCTTCTCTGTCAGCTCCTTGAGTTGCTTCCGAAGTTCATCTAACTCGGCAGGGGCCATCCTATAGATCCTTCCCTTTGGGGTTTTACTCCCTGGAATGATTTCTATAGCGTGGACGCCTATCGACGACTCTTGTGGGCTCCTCGAACAGATCAGGGAACTTAGCAACGACGCGTTCTATCTCTGGGGGTGTTTTAACGGCCTCCCCCTTCTCAGAGACATAAACAAGGTACATACCCTCCTCTTCGTTTTGCTTATTGTAATGACCCGTCATAACACAGACTGAGAATACTGCTGATTTATGAAGTTATGCCGATGGAATGGATGCCTTGATGAGATTCCCGCATTCTGTTGTGTTTTCTAAGTCCGTCTGTGTGTGTGCGTGCTTGTGACCTGCTTGCCTGTCTGAGTGCTTGTTGGTGTGAGTGTGTGTGGGACCCGCAAGGGTACTTTCTTGTTTGGTAGGCCCGTAGGGCCGGTACTTACCTGTGGCCGTGGCATTGAGGGTTGTAGCAGGGAAAACACTCAAGTGGCGAAGCTAGCGGCCCTGAGGCCCTTGGGGTAGCGGAAAAACACTCAAGTAGGCGGGTAGGCCGATACTGCACCCCACAGCAGTTGACGTGAGGGGTGCTGGAGGCCGAGCAGAAAAAGACAAAGTTGGCATTTTTAGAGTCCAGTAGCGGTAGGATTGGTCTAGGCCGGTACCAGTCCAACCAGTCTGAGTCTAGAGCCTGTACGGGTAATATCAGGGTCTGCAATGATGTTTCCCTCCGAAACGGAGGAGGTACCGGTTGTTTGGAGAGGCCGAGCGGCCTRGAAGTCACCGCCCAAGAGGCAAGCAGGCCGCTATATCAAGAGGCGGAGGCAAGAGCTCCGCCTCATTCTTCAGTGTGCGAGTTGGAGCGCTAGGTGGAGGAGCGCTGGCCTCTACAGCGCTGCTGGGAGGAAGAAGCCGGGAGCTTCCACCTTGGCTATGGTGGAGCTCAGCCAGTAGGAGGAGGAGGGAGAAGGGGACCAAGGAGGAGAGTGGTAGGGTACTTACCTGGCTATGGTAGACACCATCTTCATCTCCTTGCTAGGCGCTGCATCAGGAAGGCCCCARTGGGGGTAGTGCCGCATCAAGGAAGCTCGGACAGAGTCAGGCATGGCGGTTGAGTGGGCAGCGGCATAGCTGTTGGGTGATGACCTGGAAGTAGAGCAGCGGTGTAGCTGCTTTGTGTTGTCTTTGTGCAGGAGGCTGAAGCCTCCATAGTCCGCCATAGCCTCGGCCTGTATGTGGAGGAAGAAGAAGGGCTGCCATGGCTATGGTGGACCTCATCTTGTGCCTGCAGTAGAAGTGGGATTCGGACATTGATTCTGGTTAAGCTGTTCAAAATTATTATTGTTTATTTATTGTTTGAATAAGAGAGGAGGAGATAAAGAGGAGGAGGTTGTGTAGCGAAGAAGAAGAGCTTTGTCTTGGGTCTATGCTGGAGTACATCATCTCTTTCTTCTTTCTCACTTCTTCTTCTTCTTTCCCTCTCTCTCCTCTCAAGTTCTTTCATTTCTTTTGCAATTGGACGACATTGGGCTCAAGTTCATTCATTTCTTTTCGCAATTGGACAACATTGTACTTTCTGATGATTGTGGACTTTGAAATTGGCCAGGAACGTAACATTGGTATCGGAGCGGATTCTACTTGTTGGCGAGAGTTGACTTTGCTGCCATAACCCTAACCCTAGTGGTAAGGGCTAACCACTTAGGGTTAGGGCTGAAGTTAGGGTTAAGTGGGGCAGCGTGGTAAAGGGAAGCTGCTCCCACCTGGCAGGGCCGTGTAGGGTCGACACTAGACCCGGCTAGGTTGCTTGAGTGCATGTTTGTGGTGGCGAGACACAAGGTGGGACTTGGTGATGCAATTTGAGAGAGGCGACAGTGAAGGGCACCTACAACTTGAATCTGGACTTCAGGGAAGACGAGGAGTGACTTTAGGGCTCCCCTCAAGTAGGCGAGCTTGAGGGTGGCRGCCATATCTGCACCTACGGACTGCAAGTTGCTGCTTTGATCTTCAACATTGACGGGGGATCCGGCTTTGTACTTTGGGGTAAATGTTGACCCTCCTAGATGATAGGACACTAGTGTAGAGGATGCTAATTGGGTCAGGAGGACTATGTGAGAGGGGGGTGAGTTCTTTCATTCGAAGAGCCCGGCCACTCAGGTAAGTGTCGTGCCATCAGGGTGCCCATGTGTGTGTGCATGGAGTTGGCTGCCTGTTGGGGTTCTCTGGGTTCTTCTTCCATCCTCCATAGTCTTGATTGCGTGTGAGGTGTGTGAACTGCCTACTCACCTGATGAGTGAATGAATGGAGTATCTTGTTTGCCATGCGATATCTCTCTACAGTGCTTTGTTTATTTCATTCTGAACGGCGGTAGTCTACAGGTTCTTTCTGGGGCAAAATTTCGTTTTTCAATTTAGTAGGGACAGAGTAGGTCTCTGTGGAATTCTTGTTGGTTGGGACCCGGTTCTGATTCCACTGGGACCGTTTGGGACTCAGTGGGACCGGGCCCAAACAAGAAGGCCCCCAGGCCAAATCTGTTGACGTCAGTTACCTTGCTCTATCTGATTGGGATATGGACTTTATGCTTTCGGACCAGGACACTCGCTGCGGAGGGGATCGCCGCTGGGACGTTTTATTAGACTTTACCACGCAATCCGCCACCTGACTCGCACCTTATACACCACTCAATTCTCTCTTGCATTTCGCTGTACATCTTGAATCTGATTTGCTGTGTTTTCACGGAGCTGAGGCTGGCTAGGCTTGGGAGGACCCCATACGTAGTCAGTCCAGACTGTGTGGCTGGATCAGATCTCTCTGATCTTTTCTTTTTTTGTTGTTTTGATTGCTCTCCAGTCCAAATGAATTGTCGCTCCGGCTAGGAGTTCTACCTTCTCTTCTGAATGATTTCAAGCTGTTTCTTTCATTGGGTTCTTTAATGCCTGCGTCTACACGGTTGCAAACGAGAGAGAGAGAGAGAAGAGAGAAGTTATTGAATGTTGCTCTTGAGGGAGTGAGGAGAGGGAAGAGGAGCGTTCGTCACAAAACTGAGAGGAAGTATGGACCCCTCTTGAGAGTCTTACTGACACCCTCATCCTCCATCGTGGCATCTGCAGCAGATTGGAAACTGCAGATGGACGCTGCCCCTGAGGCAGAAAAACCGCAGTATCAGTTCTTCTACGAGAAAGCCTTGAAGAGGGAGGAGGAAGAGAAAGAGAGAGAGAGAAGGGATAAGGTGCTGGCTCACGAGGCCGTCCTTAGCACCGTGTCCGCTCTGACTGATGAGGAGGTAGAAGAGAAAATAGTTCCCCTCCTCAGAGCCTTAGCAGGGGTCCAGGTTGCTGAGGACCATACTGGCCAGCTCGCACAGGTGTTTAAGCAGCTCAAGGAGTTGCGCGAAGACATGGCTAAGATGGCGCAGCAGCACCGCGATCAGCTGCAACAGTTTGCTAGTTCGCAGCAGGCTCAAATCGTCTCTTCACTCACCTATCCTGCCTCCGATGCTGCGTGTCAGTCCAGTTTTGCCCCTCTGACTACGTCTACTTCTTCTCCTTCTACTTCTTCTTCTTTGAGTGTGGTTAACAGCCAAAGCGGATCTGCAGCAAGTCCAGACTCCGCTGCTGCTGCTGCTGCTGCTGCCGCGGCAAGTGGTGGTGCAGGGACTTCTGGAACTGTTGCAGCCCCGGGCCCGGACCCAGCAATGGCTGGGCCAGGCGGCAGCTTTGCTTACATCGACAGGAAGGCGTCGCAGATTCCGTCCAAGTATGACGGAAAGGACGACGTCGAGTCTTGGATCAGCTCCATGCGGTCTTACTTTGATGTATTGGGGACACCCCTGTCCACTCAGTCGTCTATCCTGGGGACCAATGTGGAGCCCGTCGTGCGGGGTTTCCTAGAAACCCAGGCTGTCCAAGCAGGCTATAAGAGAATAAACCTGAACAAGTGGCTGAAGGCTACGCCTACTACCACACTTGAGGATCTCTTGATCAAACAAAATCCTGATCCACATGCTGGAGCTAAAGCAAGACTTAAGCTTGACAAGCTCAAGCACAGCAAGTGGACCGGCACCATGCATAGTCTGCAGCAGTACGTCAGTAAACTCTTTGCTACTCCGGATCTGGAGATGACTGCGCAGTCTTGCTTGGATGTGATAAAAGGTACAGTCCCCTCTACTTTGAAAGATCGCCTAGGGCTCGGGCTCAGCAGATATACAGATTGGCTTACCCTCATGCGGGACTTAGTCAAGCTGGAGGCACAAGACCTCCCAGGTGGATCAAGTGGCAAAAAGGCCAGTGGCCGCAAACGGTTTCCAGGCAGCAACCGTTTTGCAGCACATGATCTGCTTGAGGCTGACGAGGAGACCCTCGTAGAAGAATCTTCTCTTGATGACGATCAAGAGCAAGACTGCGGGGCATCTTGCTCTTTGTCAGCCCATGAGTCTGAGTATGTGAATGACGATGAATCCATGAATGCCTTTAAGAAGACTGCCTTTAAGAGTAAGGGACCGAGGACCACGATGAAGAATAACACTAACACTATCCTTCTTCCCAAGGGAGCAAAGATTCCACCAAAACCGGAAGATCCTGCCAC